TCGCCGTGAGATGTCCAAGAGTGTCGCGACAAAATGGTTGCGGCAATGGAAGAAATGTGAAGGTAACAAGCTTCATACCCTTCACCCTACTACAGATAAATTTCAGGACCATCGTCACCTCTCGCGTCATGACAGTGTATTGTTAACACGACTGCGCATTGGACATACACGCTTAACACACTCACATCTCTTAATGGGCAATGAACCTCCTACCTGCGAAATATGTGACTCAGACCTTACAGTAATGCATCTGTTTGTTTGCAGGAAGCTGGAACCTTTCCTTAAACCACTTTTAGCACCACTAAGAAGATTAAACATTCCATTTCATCCGTGTTTGGTGTTAGGTCCTGAACCTCAGATTCCACTCAAAGACTTATTCACGTTCCTTCAAAAAAGTGGCCTCAAGTCACTTCTCTAGTATACATGAATTTTTGGAGCCCTTTACACTCTATAGGCCTTATTACCCATTTGTACATTAGCTAAACATAGCACATTAGTTTTACCCATGAGCACTGACATACTACATATTAAATCAGCTAAACAGGATCTTGGCGCTATTTGGCCCTCGTGTTGCCCTTGCGCCATAAAACACCAACAAACAAACAAACAAACAGCTCATCTCTAGACCTTAACCTGAGAGCGACACAATCGGCACTTAATCAACTCCCCGCAGGGGGCACCTGTGAAAGCAGGTGTTTGGAGAGTGGCGTCTCCACGGACCCCGAGCCCCGCAGGAGGCGCCTGCACCTTACGTGCTAGGTGCTTGGTGAGTAGCGTCACCACGGACCCCAGCCACATTAGCGACACACAGACCCTGAGTAAAAAGTGGCTAAAACCCACCCACGTCTGGCTGTGCGTGGCGAGCCCGTGTCCGGGGAAAAGGGCATCCTGGTGGTTGAGCCGAGCCCGGGGTAGGTTTGGACCCTTCGGGGCCCCCCGGGTGAGGCAATACACCACTTCGGCCCCCGCTTCTCGTAGACGGGAGTCCTGGTAAGGCCCGGCCAGGATGATTCAGTCTAGTCGCCTTTTCTTCTACTATCCCCTCTTTCTCTTTTCTCCCCTTCCCTCTCCCTTTGTTTCACCTTCTTTGGCGGCAAGGGCCAACCTTGTGTGGTGGCAGATACCCTTATCCTAACCACACTTGGGTATAGCACCTGGGCAAGTGCTAGTAAATCAGCGGTTCCAGCAAAGCCCATTTTGTTATGGGCTGCTGACTACTCCCTAAGTAGGGCTCGATGGTGGGCGGCACACCGCAGGTGCCGAAGTCCTTTTCCCATTCATATGGGTACTAAAGCTAAATCTTTCCTTGATCGGGCCCCGAAAAGGGTCCGGACCGAAGTGACAATATCGACAAACTCTACCTTGCCAGCCATGAATTTTCCCAAATTTATAGTAATGCACTCAGAGAACGAAGATCAACCACTTCCAAAGCTTTCCCCCTTCTTGGTCGCAAAGACCCTAGAAACTGTGATAGGAAAATCCTTTAAAGCCAAAAAACTTCCATCTGGCGACCTGCTTGTGGAGGTCACAAATGCTGAGCAAAGCAAAGCACTTCTTGCACTCAACCAAGTAAGAGATTGCAAAGTGTCAGTGACTCCACATCGCTCACTGAACAGCACGCAGGGTGTCATCTCTGAAGATGATCTCCTTGGAATATCTACCGACGAGATACTCGAGGGACTTCAAGATCAAGAGGTAGTCGCTGTGCGACGTATCACTATCCGTCGCGACGGTGAAGAACGGGACACAAAGCACATTGTGCTAACGTTCAACTCGACAACGCTACCCTCCACTGTTAAAGCCGGGTATCTCAACTGCAAAGTCCGCCCCTACGTCCCCAATCCAAGGCGTTGCTTCCGCTGCCAGCGCTTTGGACATGGGTCACTAACCTGCAGAGGAAAAGCCACCTGTGCAAAATGTGCAAGCACTGACCACCCTTCCGACAACTGTGGCAACAATACCCATCTTTGCGTCAACTGCCGAGGAACACACCCAGCGTATTCTCGCAGCTGTCCCCTGTGGAAGAGAGAGAAGGAAATTCTCTCACTAAAGGCCAAAGAAAATATTTCTTACTCAGAAGCACGGAAAAGACATTCTTTTATTTCTCAAGGTTCTTATGCCAAGGCCGCGCGCAGGGGACCGGCGCGGTCGACGGCGTCAACGGGAACGCAGACGTCAACGGACGACCTGCGTCCCCCCCCCCCCCTGAGTCCCCCTCAACATCATCTGGAGTGGCACAAACCACTTCAACCCCAAAGCGAAAGGTAGATCCTATCGCTTCGGGGTCCATTCAAGCGCAGGGATCTTCAATCCCTGCGCCATCCAAAACGCAGATGCCTCGAGGTCGGGGACTTCCTTCTCGTCCCTCTGAAGGCGCCCGAAAACCTGGTGAGCCGTCGGGGTCGCAGGCCCTTAGGAATCAGCCAGAGGCGGCCCTTGATGACCCGATGGACGAGAGCGGGCCCAAGTCCAAGGACGACAGGCCATTCTCAAGCTCGGAGTCCTTACCTTCGACTTCCTGTGGTAACACAGATAGGCCGAAGAACACATCTAAAAAGAAAAATGCACCCCGCATCAAAATTGATTTTTAGGTCTTGATGAATGGTCTTTCTTCTAATTCATGCATAATGGCAGCATTCCTGCAGTGGAACTGTCGAGGGTTGCTTCGAAACTACAATGACGTGCACTCTCTGTTAGACCAGCATCACCCTATAGCATTTTGTCTTCAGGAAACACACTTAAACAATAGTCACCCTAATATCCTAAGGCGCTTTCAGGTTTTTCGCAAGGACAGACCTCTTTTGCCGCACAGTTCTGGTGGAGTAGCTATAGTTGTCCAGCCGTCTACCCCATGTATTGAGGTTCCTTTGAATACCACTCTGGAAGCAGTGGCAGTTCGTGTTCTGTTGGACCGTTTAATAACCGTCTGTTCACTTTACATTCCCCCAAGCTATCCTGTATCCCGCGAAGAGCTTGAATCACTTCACGACCAATTACCCCAACCTGCCCTAATTCTCGGTGACTTCAATGCTCATAATGCTCTTTGGGGTAGTAGAAGACGAGATACATGTGGCTCGATGATAGAGCGTTTTCTTTCCTCAACACCTATATGCTTATTGAACAAAGCAGAATCTACGTATTTCAGTGCCCCAACTCATTCTTTTACATCTATTGATCTGTCTCTTTGCGATCCTACATTATTTCCTTTGTTTTCCTGGGCTGTCGATCCTAACCCCTATGGGAGCGATCACTTTCCTATCATTCTGAACCGACTACATCCACCTGTTACAGTGCCTACACGAACTCCCCGTTGGAAGTTTGAGGAAGCAAACTGGTCTGTCTTCAGCCAAGCAACCCAGCTCGCTTGTACATCGCTTAACAAACTGTCTATCGATGAACTCACCAATTTGCTTAGCGCCCACATCCTCAATGCTGCAATTTTAGCTATCCCTATGACTTCATCTCGCTTACCCCGCCGCCCTAAACCATGGTGGAATGCCGACTGTGAAAAATCAAGAAAAAAGCAGAACAGAGCATGGGGCATATTTAGACGTTACCCAACAGTGACTAATCTCATCAGTTTCAAGCGGATGAAGGCTCATGCGAGACACATCCGCCGCGCCTCACAGCGTCAAAGTTTCCAAGGTTATGCTTCCTCTATTAACAGCACTGCCACCACCAAGGAAGTTTGGGATAGAGTGCATAAAGTCAATGGGCATTACCGGGCTTACTCAGTACCGCTTCTTTCCGAAAACGGACTGTGCCCTGAGAGCCAAGAAGAACAGGCAGATCTCCTTGGGAAACACTTTGAACGTGTTTCTAGCTCTCAGAATTGTTCATCTGCATTTCTGAAACACAAGAGACAAGCAGAACTCCAATCCGTGCGGACATCCGGCGGAGCTCGAGAAGCATACAACTTACCTCTCACACTGAATGAACTAGAACAGGTACTTCATGAAACTAAACCTACATCTGCTGGACCAGATGGAATTCACTACCATATGCTTACTCACCTTCACCCTTCCACACTCGACATAATTTTGTTTTTGTTTAATCGCATTTGGCAGGAGAGTACATTTCCATCGTCTTGGATAGTAGCAACCGTCATTCCTTTTCTTAAGCCTGGAAAGGATGCATCGTGTGCATCCAGTTACCGCCCAATAGCGCTAACAAGCTGTCTTAGCAAAACTCTGGAGAGAATGCTTAACAAGCGACTCGTGTACTTTTTAGAAAAAGAAAATATTCTTGATAAATATCAGTGTGGCTTCCGTTCGTCACGATCTACATTGGATCATCTTGTCCGCTTGGAGTCTACCATCCGTGAGGCCTTCGTAAATAAACAGTACTGCCTCTCTGTCTTTTTCGATTTAGAAAAGGCTTACGACACTGCCTGGCGGCATGGCATCCTACAAGATATGTATAGCTATGGCATTCGAGGCAGGATGCTAGCATTCGTAAAGAGCTATTTGGCGATACGTACCTTTCGTGTCAAATTAGGCACTACCTACTCTCGAGAATTCTGCCAGGAAAACGGTGTTCCCCAAGGAGGCGTATTGAGTGTCACCCTTCTTATAATAAAAATAAACTCGATAGCCCGGGCCATCCCATCATCCGTACAGTATTCACTTTATGTTGATGATCTTCAGATATCCGTCTCATCCTGTAACATTGCTCTCTGTGAACGTAGGGTCCAATTAGCAGTAAACAATCTGCTCAAGTGGGCTGATCAAAATGGCTTTAGGTTTTCACCAGAAAAAACAGTTTCTGTTTGCTTTTCTCGCTTACGAGGAGCTACAGTAGATCCATCGGTGACCATGCACTCCACTCCAATTCCAACAAAACCGGAGCAGAGGTTCCTATGGCTTATTTTTGATAGTAAACTGTCCTTTCTTTCTCATATTAGGTATCTTAAGGTAAAATGCCAGAAAGCACTAAACATTCTTAAAGTCCTTTCTCATATCTCATGGGGCTCTGATCGTCTCTGTCTTCTTCGAATTTACAGTTCGGTGCTTCGCTCACGCCTCGACTATGGTAGTTGTGTATATGGATCGGCAAGGCCCTCAGCTCTTCGAATGCTTGACCCCATTCATCACCAGGGATTGCGACTGTCTACAGGTGCATTTCGCACGTCGCCTATCCCCAGTCTTTATGCAGAGACAAATGAATGGTCTCTGGAAAAGCGAAGGTTTGCTTTGGGATTTATCTATTCCCTTCGAATACATTCACTCACCCTGCATCCTACATGCGAGGTTGTAAAAGAAACAAGATATAAGCGCACCTTTGACAACAAGCCCTCTGTAATCCCGCCTTTTAGTATGAGAAATGCAGCTGCAGCTGATTCGGTTGGACTGAGCACTACAATGCCCGTGACCCCCGTACCTCAAGCAATAGCTCCGTGGGAATACAGCCTCATTTTGTGTGACTTTTCACTGACTAAGTTCAGAAAGAGAGACACCCCACCAGAATGTATCAAACAGGAATTTTATGAAATCCAAAGTAGATACGCTGGTCACAGCTCGTATTACACAGATGGCACCAAGACAGAAACGTTCGTTGGATGTGCTATGGTTGGCCCCTCTGTTCGCTATGTTCAACGAATTGCATATACAGCTACTATTTTAACAGCTGAACTATGTGGTATCCGCCTGGCAGTTAATCATATTATAGAAACGAAGAGCATGAAGTCAGTTGTGTATACTGATTCACTGAGTTCATTGAGAGCGCTCTCATCACTAAATACCTCTAAACACCCAATAATCATAGAGTTGCAGAATAAAATCATTGATGCTTCCAAAAGGAACATTAAAATAGTCTTTTGCTGGGTCCCTAGCCATGTTGGTATACCGGGTAATGAGGAAGCAGACCTTGCAGCCAGTTCTGCTGGTGACAAAGAAGTCGAACTGCATGACATTCCATATAAAGACTATCACAGACTTTTAAGGCATCGTATAAGAGAGAAGTGGCAGCAAGAATGGGATGAAGAAGTAAATAACAAGCTGCATACTGTAAAGCCACTGCTTAGTGAGTGGGAGAGTGCAAGACACCGTGAACGCTTTTATGAGGTTGTCCTGTGTCGGCTAAGGATAGGGCATACGCACCTCACCCATGGCCACCTTCTGCGCAGGGAGGAAGCCCCAGAGTGCGAGCACTGCAATAATCCTTTAACTGTCGCACACATATTATTAGAATGCCCTGCTTATGACCTAGACCGACGGAAACATTTTTGTCAGCTATATAAAGAACATACGCCTTTAAACCTTCCTATTTTGCTTGGCAACGAACCATTAGTTCCGCATCACAGCGTTTTTAGCTTCTTGAAAGCTATCGGCCTTTTACACCGACTATGATTTTACACCCAACTTCATGTCCATAACTACTTACAAGTCATACACATAATTTTAACCTATCATCAACTACTAAAGTTCTATCCTCTTCGAAACTCTATCTGCAATAGTGTATGTACATGGCGCATCATAGCCTAGGATGCTTTTGCGCCATAAAACCCCAATCAACCAACCAACCTTAATCAACTTGTACGTCTTCATCAAACCAGAAGTGGAGTGACGTTGCTCAAGAAACTAGAAGCAAGGCGTTCCAATTTCCCCCTACATTTACAAGAGCTATACAACGTTGAACCATCGCTCCAGAAATCTCGTCCCCTAACTTGCGCTGAAGAACCGCCATGGCGCGAACCACCAGTAATGTGCGATCTACATCTCCCGGGAGTGTATAGGAAGGGAAATCTACCAGGAATTGTACTGCGGCAAATTGCTGAGGAGGTCCTTTCCTCAAAATACGCAGGAGCTCTACAGGTACATACCGATGGCTCTGTTCACTTTGGAACGTGCAGCGCTACCGCGGCCTTTGTTATACCAAAGGAGAACACGACATGGAGCGGCCCTTTTCAAACGGTGGTCAGCTCCACCACGGCAGAGCTTAAGGCCATTGAGAAGGCACTTGACTACATCACCTCACATACCCCACAAACAGTAGTGCTGGTCACCGATTCAAGAACGGGACTTCAACGCCTAGGTAATCCTGACTCCATTGACGAAACGACGGCCACCATTCAACTTACGTTAAAGCACTTACACAATTCTGGATTCAACATTGCGTTTCAATGGGTACCTTCACACGTGGGACTGTTTGGTAATTCCGAAGCCGATAAACTCGCAGGAGCGGCACATGGACTGCCGCGCACTATTCCCAGTCCAACAGATTTCAATGCGACTCGAAAGTCCATCAAAAGTTACATAACTGAACTTTCTCCGACCACATACTCCAAACATCAGCCATGCATCACAAAGGGTCTTAAAAGACAGAAGTGCACTCTCCTCATAAGAATACGCAGCAGAAGTGCATTTACAAATGCGTTTCTTTTTAAAATATCTGCAATAAAGAGCTCCCAGTGCCCGAACTGCAACGATGAAGAAAACATTTGCCACATCCTCTTCAACTGCGAAGAATATAGCGATTCACGTCTAAGGTTCGTCACTGAGCTCGCCAGAATTGGACTTCGTGATCCAGACGACGAGGACATCATCTATCCAAGTGGTTCGGCCCGTCGCCGCCAAATAATACAACACCTGCTACTGAACTTCCTCGACGAATCCGGTGTCGCAAACCGCCTGTGAAATAACTCTACATTAACTCTTAGCGCTTTCACGTCTTCATTTCATTTTTCTCTATTTTCCTTCCCCCTCTCTTTATCCCCCTTTCTTTCCTTTCTCTCTACTTCTTTTCATGGGGAACCAGTTCAGCATTCCCGCTAGAACAACCTCCCCTGCTTCTCTCACGCCACCTCTCTCTCTCTCTCTCCAACCTAGCGATCCTGGATAGCTAGGATGTTTTCGGCGACGAGGCGTCGCCGTCTCGTCAATTCGACTTTTTCTTTAATAGAGCTTCTTTTTTCGCCGGAAAGGCTGTATCGGGAACACCGCGATACATTCGAGCTCCCAGAGGAGATCTTTCGGAAGCAATACCGCCTGCCCAAGATCGTGGTGCGGTGGTTGTGCGACGAACTTCGCGAGGAACCGGAGGTGAGGAGAGTGCGTACCTCGTGGACGGTCATGACTGTGGAGCTTCAAGTGTTGTGTGCACTGCGCTTCTGCGGCACGGGGAGCTTCCAAGGCATGGTGGCGAGCGACGAACACGTAGCGCGGGACCAAAAGACCGTCAGCGTTGCGGTCCGCGCCGTGTCCGTCGCTATCGTGCAACGTCTCGGGGTCCAGCGTGGCTGGATCCACTTCCCCGAGACGCCGAGCGAGAGGTTCGACGCGGAGAAGGGCTTCAGGCTGCTCGGCAGGATACCCGGCGTCATCGGTTGCGTAGACGGGACCATGGTCTCCATCGTCGGCCCGTCCAAGAACGACCCCACCGTCACGAAAACGGCGTACTGGTGCCGCAAGTACTTCTACGCCCTCAACGTGATGGTGGTAAGTACACTCGTGTTACGTTGTCAAAACGCGCCCCACCCAAATCTCTAGAAAAAGAAAAAAAAACGTATTGCCGATACGGTTTAAGTATGCCGTTTTATGACTGCGGGCTGTGGGGTCTCACGACTGCGCGAGCGTGTGCTCTACGTAGCATGTGAGCCGTGAGACGCTTCTCCCAAAAATAATACTTGTCTGTTAAAACGTGCAAGCTTCCGCAAAAAAAAACACACATTATTTTTGTTTCAAGGTAGTTAGTTGTACCTTGCATCCAGGAAGGTGTGTTGACATGCTTGTGTCAGACAAAATAATTAAAAAGGTTCTGAAATTGCGACTGCTTTGTGAACCATAAGTACAATCTACTACTTGTGGATTCAGGTAATTACATGTCAATATCTCTCTCACTTTCAGGTGTGTGACGCCGACTGCCGGATAATGTGCACCGACCCGCGGTATCCCGGGTCGGTGCACGACTTCTTCGTGTGACAATTTTCCTGGCTCCGAAACCCACTCGAGCAAGGGCAGCTGCCACGCGACGGCCGGTTCCTGCTTGGTGAGCATACTAAATTCATTCCTTACGCACACGGTGGCTCCCACTGCTTGAAAGCCACAGTACCGCACATACTGTGCTTGTTGTGAGGCACACAGACACAGTTGCTGGAATTCCTTGAAGTTAGACAACACCCAAAGTTTGGCCATTAATCTTTGTTTATGTCCACATAGCTCTCACACTCTGCAGGCTACGAAAGCCACACTACACCAATCTCACGACAGTGATAGACTACGCAAGGCATGCGACAGCAGTGCGAGTCGCTGTCCGGTTCGGCCCAGTCACTGTTACTGTCTGCCTGTACCTTCTTGCTGGTTGGTTTTTGCATGAAGTTGGAGCTCTTTCACTGATCCCTGGGGGCTCGCCTGGTCGCTTTGACGGTCGTCAGTTTCTACGGAATGGGATCAATTCCTCCTTGGCCACTTGGGGCTCGCCAAATCTGTCCTCGGGTCGTCTCTGTCCCACACACTGGATTCTTTTTCCTGACCCTTCTTCGGTCTGCCTATATAGCTCCTCCTATTAGACCCTCCGTGTCCCAACAGGACCTGACTCCTTTCCAATCTAACCACCCCCTCTCTTTTGCCCATCTCCAACTCCACCGAGGATTAGGAAAGAGGTTCGTCGAACTGGCGCCTTATCCCCTTGCTTGCCAAAGACAAGGCCAGCGTGTTCTGCTCTGCCTGTGCCTAAGGTCACGGCCACACTCCCGAAAGCAACAGAGCTTTTATCTGTCGGATGCAAGGGCCTAATAATGCACTTGCATACAGCACAGCACCCCTAAGGAATCGTGCACACATCCCATACAACCCACCAGGAAAACACATAGTTACATGAAATAACAGGGAGTTTGCGGGCAAGCTGGTGCTAATTAATCATCATGTAAACTGATACTGTAGTGCAGAAATATTAACACACTTTTAAGTCACACTTAAGTTACATTATAATTGACATAGTTGCACACAGCTGTTTTTGCTGTTTTCTGGCCTTTCATTTTAAAAAGTAAAGTATGTAATATGTTCCATCCTCTACATGTGCAGGTGACAGCGGCTACCCCTTGGAGCTTTGGCTCATCACCCCTGTCCCCGGGAACCACGCGACCTCCACCGCTTGTGGCCGGTTTAATAAGGCGCATTCCTCGGTCAGGTCTGTTGTGGAGCGCTGCATCGGGCTGTTGAAAAACAGATTCCGGTGTCTGCAAAGGCACCGGGCTCTGTATTACCACCCTTCAACAACCACCGCCATTATTTCGGCATGTGCAGTGCTCCAGAACATCTGCCTTGCATCGAGTGAGCAAGAACCGGAGTCAGACTCCGACCCTGAAGAGTAAGAGTTGGAGTCTGAGCCGAGCTCGGAGAGGTCAGCGTCGGCTCCCGAGAGGCTGGCTCCTGCAGGCCCTCCGGTCGGCCTTCCGGTCGGCCTCTCGGACAGGGGGAAGGCTCTGAGGCAGCGCCTTGTCACCCGGTTCGGAACCCGCCGCAGACGTGCCCGTGCGGAGCGCCACACGCAAGGGGTCCGCCGCCACGACGGTAGTCCCGACCACCAGGGACACCGTCGGGAAGCCCCTCAGCGCCCTCGCCGCGGTGGTGTCCAGCATGGACGCCGGCAGCGACAGGGAACCTCTCGCCACCACGACTGAGGTCCTGACCACCAAGGACCCCGTCACATCCCTGCCCTCAGTGAAGCCCTCCCAGTGGAAGCCGTAAAGTGCACACTTCGCTTCCTGCTCCACAGTCATGGCCGTCCACAAGCTACATACTCTCTTCAGCTCCTACACCTTGTGAAGTTGGTCGCACAGCCAGCGTGCTGCCTCCGGATACGTGTCGAGTGCATCGCGGTGAAATCGATACAGCCTTTTTTTTTATTTTTATGAGCAGAAGGCAGGAGACGCAGTCGACAGTGACAGAAAAGTTTCGGAGGTTTAGTTGCCAGACCAACAGGTCATCTGGATTGCCCCTGCAAAGAACTCAGAATTAATTTAGACTACCTCTAGAAAGAAATGCTTGCTTTTGCAGAGATTGCTTTCTTAGTTGCTGATTGAACCAGGGATGTTGTTGTCATGGACATTGTTTCATTTTACAAATGCTTCAAAGCGTCTTGCCTTCTGCTCCATTTTATTATCTCTTGTATGGTACTTCATCAAAGTTAGGTGATTGTGTTATCTCAAGACAGTGCATGCACATGTAGTTTGTTTTGAAAATTGCTTTATTTCTTAAAGAAAAACCTGTGACTTCATGAATAAAAGTGTGATAAAATGGAATGTAATATTTCATTCTTGGAAGTAAAACTGAGCATCGACTGGAACCATGTAAACAATTGGGCAATCTGAAGTATATATCACAGATATCTTGTTGAACACTCTGGTCTTATTGGAGCACAATAGTTAAATTTCGAAAGGAAAAAAAAATATATATATATTCTCTGACTAGCATACCACCATATAAACACTGGACCACTTTGAAAGAATTATCACAGATGTTGCGCCAAACATTCTTATTTGAGCACAGCAATAGCAAGTTCTCGAAAGATAAAAAATTGTTTCTGACTAAAGCAGCCGTCACTCGCGCGCTCCCCGTTGGTTCCGCCGACCCCTCCGCTGCCCCCGGCATCCCCGCCTCCTCGTGGTTCGACATTTTGGTTTGAAGAAGGCGCGTA